GACCACAGGTTTTACTGTTCACCAAGAAAGAGACCCTTTCTTCAATAAAGTGCAAAGAGAATAGAAATAAAGGTGCAACCAAGGTACAAGGTTTTACACATTTGAAAGAACATATGAGACAGGAAAATAGCTGATATTTTTATCTTTGGAAGTTTTTAGTCACAGACTTTCCCTCAGACTTAGAATTTTTGCCAAACCTTTCAGTTTATGTAGAGATAATTGGACTGGACAATATTTAATACAATTTTTTATCTCAGGATTATTGTACAAATACTCAGATGCTTCAGAGTAGCTTCTTTTTCTACTCAGTTCTTTTCTTTTTTCAGCTTTTCTTTCCTGTTTCCTAATCCTAACCAAATGGTGAGAAATTAGAGTGCTAAAACGTCCCATATTACTTATCTGTTGCTGCATAAAAAATTCACCCCGCAACTTAAAACAACAAACATTTACTATCACATAGTTCTGAGGGTCAAGAATCCAGGAGCGCTTAGCTGGGTGGTTTTGACTCAAGGTACATCATGAATGTGCAGTGAAATTATTGGCTGGAGCTGCAATTATTTGAAAGGGCTGGAGAATCTACTTCTAAGCTCACTCATACAGCTGTTGGCAGGAGGCCCCAGTTTTCCACATGTGCCTCTCCCCTCTATATAGGGCTATTTTTACAACATGGGAGCTGGATTCTCCAGAGTGAGTAATGAGAGAGAGAGAGAAATAACCAACAAGGAAGTCATGATGTATATTATGACCTAACTTTGGAAATCAGGTACCTTCACTTCTGTAGTATTCTGCTCTAGCAAGCAGATACAATGAAATACCAGGAGGTGGGAATTATTTGAGCCATCTTGGAGGCTGATCCCATATATTTCTTTAACTTCTCAACTAGCAAAACCAATGTGTGGATAGTGTGAGAGGACAGAGGTTTAAGAGGCCTATCCTATTTAGGCCCATCCTATTTAGAAGGCACTGAGGTAACTACCACTAATCATAGATTTTATGATGATTTCTGAATTTTACTTCTAGACATGGATTTAAGTATTTTAAATTTACGTATTTAAGTATTTGAAATTATGAATTTTCTCAAATTTGTTCTCAATCATTTAACCTACAAGTAAAAATTAAGAGTTTCTATGCATCAGAAGCTGTCAGGGCAATTATGATATGTGTTACAATCAAGTTATGTACAAAAAGCCAAGGATACACAGAGACAGAGGAACTAAATTTACCTGGGGAGTCGGAGAAGGATTCACAGAAGAGGTGTTTCTGAGTTTTGTTTTAAAATGTTAATAAGATTTTGTAAGACTGACAAAGAGGTAAACAAGAAGATAAACATTAGATAAACAAATGCAGAGTTTCAGCAAGTTTCAGAAGATAACATACAGAATGATATTATATTTATAAAGCTATAATTTATTTAAACACACATATTTGATTAAATATAAGTAAGGAACTGAGAAATTCAAACGCAGGTTAGTGATTGCCTCTGGAGGGACTGGGACAGCCACAAGTAAGGGAGAAACCGGAGATAGATTCAATGGTACTAGTGTTTGAATACGTTTATAGGATTATAGATGTCAGAATCATGTATAACAATTTTTACATATGAAATATTGTATAGTCATTTTTGATATTCAGTGTATTTTGTCAGCAGAGGGGACAGCATATGAAAATGCATGGAGGGGTGAACGAGCTTAGAATAAAATATAGAGACATAATTATGACAAGGAAATTATAAATAATGCATTATATTTCATAATACACAGTTCAGTATCCTGAAATTATATTGGAGTATACAAAGGAAAGAAGATTAGAGATTCAATTGAACGCAACAAACTCAAAACTCAGAATCTTGCAAAAGAAGCAAGTACTATTTCTGTATTAAGAACCAGGAAGCTGATTTCTCCTTTATTGCCTGCATGATGATAAGATCAAGGCATATTACAATTGAGAATCTTGAATCATGTGAATTAATGATAAGTTACAGGAGCAGTTATTATTTTCACCATTAGGAAAGAGGTCTGGTGGATTTTAATTGTCTAAAACTCATCATGTGCCAACAACTTTTGTTCCAAGTGGCGTTCAAATCACAGGGTGGTACTTCATTTAACAACTTACCCTTTTAAACTATTGTGAAGCTGCAAGTATGGTTTAATTATATTATTGCCAATCATCTGAAGAATGGTAATTACTTAGAGCTTTTGGCCAGTATTTCTGATTAAAAGTGCTATGGCAAACTCAGTAGGTCATAGGTTCATGTCCTGAGCCTATTAATTTTCTTTTAAAGCTTTACTTTATTCCTTAGACGAGGAATCACTCCACCCTTGGAAAAGATGCTTAGAAAAACTTGACTGATCTGAAGTGAACATGAAATGTAATGACTTTTGCTGTTATCATTTTGATTAACTTTTTATTATTTTCATTTCTCTTACTAGCCAAAAAAAAAAAAAAAAAGTGACTAAAGCACTATTTTCCTGTGAGAGATTTGAGATGCTTGTTAATTCAACAAGGTCCAAAATGTTGATGGATAATTAACGGCGATATTTATCTGACCAAGAGTGAGAGAATGAGTTCCTACATGTTTATCTACGAACAAAGTTCAGGATACATTTTTCCTAGGGAAGGGGACGTGATACACAGGAGGAAGTTATGAAGATTGGATTCTTTTCCTTTTGAAGAATAAAGACAAGGCATAATCCCTGTAAAGCCACATTGGGACTTTCTGACAAAGAAGTTGTATCTGTTTTGATAAAAGAAGGCCAGGAGAGTCTAGAGGTATTTTCCAAACCAGCGCTATGGTCTTGCTGAGCTTAGCTGTCACCAGAGCTTCCTGGGAAGCTTGAATGCAAACCCTTGAGTTTTCTGCTCTTGGTTCCACTGCCTTGTTTTTCGTTGGTCCTTTGGCTGCTTGATGGATCGTTGTTTTGTCATTAGGTCTGTTTTTTGTTTTGTTTTGTTTTGTTTTTGCGGTACGCGGGCCTCTCACTGTCGTGGCCTCTCCCGTTGCGGAGCACAGGCTCCGGACGTGCAGGCTCAGTGGCCATGGCTCACAGGCCCAGCCGCTCCGTGGCACGTGGGATCTTCCCGGACCGGGGCACGAACCTGTGTCCCCTGCATGGGCAGGCGAACTCTCAACCACCGCACCACCAGGGAAGCCCTAGGTCGGTTTTTGATAAAAATAATTATTTCACTTTCAGCCCACTGATGGCATATTCCAGCCAAACTTTACATGTATTTTCTGGGTGTGGGTATGCCCAGAAGCTGAGCATATATGTGTCCTACCACTTTGCACCTTATTTGCAGTTGCAGTGTCTCATCTATATCAAATTTGTATCTTAACAAAGATGTCCGTGATGTGAAATCACAGAGGTGTTCATTCCAGAGTTGGTGTTAGATGTCTGACATATAAAAATGCCTGTGACTCATCTTCTCCCTACCTTCCTCTCACCTGTGCGTATCCTATGAGAGACAACCTGAAGTCTTTTCCCTATTTTACATACTCACAAACAGTCTCACAGTTCCTACATCTCTTATTAAATGACTCCCTCCTTCCTTCTGTTTTTTATCTCTGCCTGTGACTAGCACATGCTTACTTGATGATCCCTGATAGCATGTTTCATTGTTTGTTTTTTTTAACTCAAAGTGTCATCTTAAAAAAAATTCTGTTCTCCAGTATCTCTGAACTCCTGTGCCTTTTTATTCTCCACTGTCTGACATTGTGAAATTCCACTCTCTGTCCTTACTTCCTCAAATCATTATAATTCCTTCTCTAAAAACAAACTTGTTCTGCATCTCCCAACAATGCAGAATGTGGAACTATCTTGCAGGCAGTAAAAAAATAACAAAAATTTAAGCAAAGACAGTTACCGGAAGTTGTCCTTTCTCCCACTATACATTTTTCCCTATATGCACCCTATAATTTCACTCCCTGTTTTGTCCTTAAGTCATGTTCTTTAATTCCTTTAAATGCATTCTTAAGGTAATAATAATCTCTTATATTTGATATTTTGTGATAATGATTTCTAATTTTAGGCTCTTTCTTCTCTTTGTATCTGTCACCACAGAAGAATAACAGCCCCAACTCATTGATGCTCATGTGGTTCGACTAAATTTTTGGAATTTACAAAGATACATGGAGGACTGGCTCTTTTCCTCAGGAGCTGAGTTATGATGATCCAGGAGTGGACAACATGTAGAGGCCATTAGCAGGGGCTTGACTGAACAAAGTCAGACAAAGAATCTCTGAGAGTTTGCACTAAATAGATTTACTGTGCACGTTTACTACTAGTGGAAGAGATTTTTTTTAATTTTCAGTGAGAAACAGAACCTCTAAGATAAATACGTTTTGTTCAGATTATGTATGAATTGATTAGAATTTGTATTTACAGAGCTAAGACTAGATTCCTAGTTTTCATGACTGCTAGCCTATGACTTTTATTTTACATTATTATAGGCTACTAAGAAAGAGAAGCCTTTGTCTAGGAGTTATAATAACCTAAGTTCTTGTCACAGCTCTGTAAATACAAAGATTTGCTATTCTTGACAAGATTTGTCACTTCTATGCCATAATTTACTCATCTGTGTAAAAGGAGGGATTGTAACTACCCTATATTTTTTGCTGAATTCTTAGAATTATGTTCACTATGAAGGTTACATAAGTGAGATATAGTATATTACATGCTTTCTAATTGGAAGAATATTTCAACAGCAGTAGTACCAATTTCTGATGCTAATGTTCTTTCTTCAACTTTTATCCTTTATTCTTCTCTTTCAGTTTCTAAATTTCTGTGACTTCACTATCATCACCTCCCCACCACCAACCCCCCTTTTTAAAATCACATATTGGATTTTGCCCATAGATAATCCAATGATAAAATCACATTGATAGTTGAAATAAAAAGTTCCCCTTATTTTTCTTGGGTAAAATTTTGATAACACCAATTGTCCTTGTCAATTCTGTACTTGGATATTAGTTATAATAGTGTCTTTTCTTCTCATTTGCACAGGAAATGACTTATTTCTTGTAGCGGTTCATGAACTGGGACATGCTCTGGGACTGGAGCATTCCAATGACCCCACTGCCATCATGGCTCCATTTTACCAGTACATGGAAACTGACAACTTCAAACTACCTAATGATGATTTGCAGGGCATCCAGAAAATATATGGTAGGTTACCACTGATTCTATTTGGTTAACCCTATAGCGAAGTGCAGAATTTCTGCTCTGTTTTCTTTGTTGAGATAGATGCTCTAAGTATATTAGAGAGATAAATACTGAAAAAAAAATCTGGTCTATTGATAAAAGTCTTCTATCAATCAAGTTTGGTTGGCAACAATCCCAGATATCTTAATATGCAGATAATGGGAAAGTCTAGGCACTGATAAACTTACTGAGTTTAATTGAAACCTGAAATTATAGTAAAGGTCAGTTAAGCTTTAGTATTTAAAATTCTGGTAAAAATGTAATAAATGAATATAACCAGTAAAAACAATGAGCCATAGAAGACTTTCATATAAGATACTGAGACTTTGGTGAAAGCTGACAGATTGATTCTCAGTTTATGATATTTGATGTTTGACAGATGCTAGACAAATCACTTTGGAAAATGCTGAAAATACTCTTGAGTGATGGATGTAACAAAATGAACTCAAAAACATGTAATTATTGACTAAGAGGTAAAAGGCAACAAATGGCTAAGTTTACTAACACATAATTCACAATAAATTTCTAGTAGAGTAAAATAATTTTAATTTATGGGGTTCAGTCAATGAATGCAAGGTAAGACAAAAGGGAGAAACACTATTACACATATTTACTATAATCCTAACTCCCTCAATAGGACCACTGACCTTTATAAAGACATTTATTTCACACAAAATTGTTAAGAACTTGACATGTACTATTAACATATAGAGAATATGCTTTACTAAATTAATGAAGTGAAGCTTTCATTTTACAATACAAAAACAAATGTGTGCTGTCTGTAATATTCAGTACTCAGAAGATGTCATTTGCATTTTTAAATATCATAGTTTAAGTTCACTAATCTGTTTTGCATTCATGAATTTTTTCAAGTTCAATGTCTCAGTGGTGACCATTCTCTCAAGGTTAACATTAGTTTTGGAAAAAAAGGTCAACTTTTGTGCTGCTCTTTATTTGGGGGATACTGAGAAAAGAGAAATGTCCAGGACTCAAAACTAAATAGCTCATATGTTGAATGAGCTAGCCAATGCCTATGTGTGTGTCATCAGAAATTCTGCCAAAGTAGTTAACTGAAAGGAGGCTCTTTCTCATGACCTCATGAATTAGTAGTCTAGACTGAAGGTCTGCAAAAGAGTATTCTTTCCATATCTAAATAATAAGTGTGAACAGCTCTGTATTTCTTTTTAAAAACATAAATCCCTTGAGAAATGATGCTTTACATCTGTACCAAATTACATCTATAAACTTTGGCTTGATTTAGAAACCTCTTTTTAGAAATACTTCTTTACATTAATATTTTATTAGTGGTGTTTTAATCAATAGGTGTTTTAGATTCAGTATTCAAATGAAACACTCTTCTAGCAATCTGTGAAAACATTTCATTAGAAGAAAATAATGAAAGTCAGGAAAAGTTGATAAAATACAGTTAGATACATAGGGATAGAATAAACTTTGATTTGTTAATGAGCTATTAACAATATTAGAAATATTTGCCTAGAATCGTCTACCAAAATCTAGGATTAACTTTGGTGGAGCTTACATGCATGGTTCCAGTATTCATTTTAATTTATTTATAATTAATACACCACCTACTTCCAAAAACTGATTTGAAAACAGACTTTCCAATAAGGGCTGTGGTGAAGCTATTTTAAAAATCATTAAAAATTAACAAAGAAGGCCTAGTTACTTGGATCCAGAATTCAGCACAATAAAGACAGTTTCCGATAGACTTGGCAATGGTTTGTTGGGTAAGATGGTTTGTTTTTTCAGGAAGTATACAATCTTAAAGACCTCTTAGCTTGCTTAGTCTGAACCCTCCACTGATAAGTGATTGTCCTATGTAGCATATTTTCCAGCACTATTCCAGTTTTAAGTGAGCCAAGTGCTGTCCTCATATTTTCAAAAGGTCCACCTGACAAGATTCCTCCACCAACAAGACCTCTACCGACAGTGCCCCCACACCGCTCTAATCCTCCAGCTGACCCAAGGAAGAATGACCGGCCCAAACCTCCCCGGCCTCCCACTGGCAGACCTTCCTATCCTGGAGCCAAACCCAACATCTGTGATGGGAACTTTAACACTCTAGCTATTCTTCGCCGTGAGATGTTTGTTTTCAAGGTAGGAAGCTGTGATTTTTTTTTTTAATGGTAGATCAAGTGTCTACAGTGTCGCTTTAGAAAACAAGTTCTCATTCATTCTAACACCACCTTCCCAGACCTCTCACAGTTAGAAGTTTCAAAAAAAATATCTTAAAATAAAATGCACAAATGGGCTTAAATGTCTAGCAGAAAATTGTTGTAACATTCTATTTTGGGAATGCATTTATGTCAGCAAAAGCTAAAATGCCTAGAAATGTGAGGCTAAAAAGTGCTGCATGCTATGAACAGATAAAAAAGCATAATTTAAATCATGAATAGGAACTAATAGGGATGATTTGCTTGGGAGCTTAGCCACTTCCAGGCATACTGCAGCTACTCTATCTTTGGTTTGCACATCTTTATGAGATCCTTATAATTTCACTAGACAGTTAAAGCATTTTTTTTTAAGAGGAGTATTGATCATTTTGTTCAGAGTCTACTGGTAGCCATTTACGTTAAATCTCCTCTATGAGACCATCACTTTGATTTTACATATACATTTTGTTGTTTTATTTAGGCACGCATTTATAGCTATCTAATTTACATTGTTTTTTAAAAGGTTACAAGCTAAAACTAATTTTACATTTTGCTAAATGTGCTTTTCAGTGACGTTGAGTTCTCCAACAATAACACTAAAAAACAGTGTATCAAAATAAATTATATATACTAAAAAGTGAATGTAATGTAATACTGAAAAATATTTTCCCCTCAATGTTTATAAACCAATCTTAAAGATTAATGAAAACTATAAGATTTATGTTGGCATTAGGGCACTAAAATAGCTACATTTTACCAATACCATCCATTTAAAAATAAAATAATGTGCTCTCTTTTTCATTAGACATGGATCAATAAATATTGAAATATTGCCCTACTTATCCTATTATCTACCAGAGGCCATACTTTGAAAGTATAGATATTATATAAATTTTAATAGGCAAAGTACTTTATTTCCTATATTGGAAATTAAGATTTGGATTTAATATAATATGCACAAGAGCATCATACTTTCCTGGAAAAAAATCAATGGTTTTCTTCAAACACATGAATAGATTTTTGAATTTTATAAATGCCCTGCAATGCTTAGTTAGATATCTCCCCTTTAATTTAAGTAGATTAATAAGTTTAGATTCAAGGAGTAAAGAAAAAAAGCTTACTATATATATGTGTATAACTCTATATATACATATATAGAGATATACACATATATTCATACTCATTGTGGCTAAGCCCACAGCAACTAGTTGAAATGAACACAAAATGCATTAATTTGTTTATTCTACAAGACACCAAATGACAATTGAAAGATTTTTTTTTTCACTGTTTTGGCTGAATTTCCACATCCAAGCTTTATACCTTGATATGCTGATATCACCAAAGTGGTGTCAACTTTATCTGAGAATAAGATATGAAATTGACTCTGGGTACATTCATTTCATTCTTCTTGTCTGTCTAATTAGATTGCCGATCTCAGAAGAGACCAGTATCTTCATGTCTAATGATCATTTTTACCAACTTTTTGCTCTGCACATTGTGGGAGATTAGTGAGTGCTCTGATTGACAAAATGAGATCCTGTGATGGCTGGTTCTTGGAATCAGGAATGAGTAACAAGCACACAGACCAATTCTCAAATAAAATACAGTGGCCACTATTTTCAATGTCAAAGCAAGTGTATAAAGAAACATGAGTAAGGCCTGCTTGTCTAAACTCTCATGGCACCTTGGATTCCTTAATCAAAACTCTCTGCAGGACAGAGTTCCTAAACTCTGTCTGCATTTAATTTCTTTGTTTCACTAGCCCCTCCTCTCTTTCTGAGAATAGGTTCTGTAGAAGATATCTTCTGTATAATTTTTGTACTCATCTCCTCTTTCATATAATGAGTGTGTATGCCCAGGGTAGTTTACCAGGTCCCCAGGGTGTATGAATAGAAAGTAACACCCCAGTCTTTATGGAGCTCATACTCCAGGAGTGAAGACAAACATAAACCTAAGTACTTTTAAGATACAGGAGGAAACGACATGAAGAGAAAGAACTGAAGTCCAGTTGAGTAGGTCAAAACAACTTGACTGAGAAAAGGCTTATGCTGAATTTTGAGAGAGACACTTCTTAGGCACATTAAAAAGATTGGTATTTGACGTAGTAAAATGTTGATGTACTGCGGGAGAGAAGATAGACATATTAACTCTAGTGCAAAGTGATAAATGTTATAAATCAGAAATATACAAGATTTGATCAAAGGGAAAAGAGGATGATTGAGTGACACCTGCTCCTGGTTAATAGCTACGTGGATTGGGTAACTAATATGTAGCTGAATGTAAGCTAGGCACTTTACATTGATAATTTCTAAACCTTATAATAACACTGCAAGATGAATAGTATTCTCTGTTTTAAAATGTGAAAACTGAAAATCAGAAAAGTTAAGTAGTCAGTAGTTGAATACAGGTCTACTTGATTCCAAAAATCTATGTCTTCCACCTTAAGTTTTACTAACTGAAAGAGGTAGAGAAAGCTTCAAAAGAAAGGTGGACTTTAAGATATATTTTAAAATAGTAAATATTCAAGAAATATTTATTAAACTCATGTTGTGAGGCTCTGTTTTAGGCACTGGCAGTGTAGCAGTTAAAACACACACACACACACACACACACACACACACAAACTACAGGCTAGACCTTAGTTTCTTGGAGCTTACATTCTAAGTTTTCAGAGTGGACGTGTGGTTGAAGGTGCTTCACACAGAGGTTCTGCACCTGCCATGGAAGGCTGTGGTAGAGCATCCACATTGATTGAGCCCCCCAAATCTTGCTTTTCTCTGTTAATGACTGCTGGCTTTTTAACTTCTCTCTCTATACCTACATGGTCTAGACTACCTTCACCTCTAAATTAACGTCATTTTCCCCATACCTGATCTTCTGCCTGAAGTTACTCTCTGTCAGTCTGTCTTGTGCACACCTACGTTTAAATGTTCCTTCAATATGATCACCATTAGTTTTCATAGTTTGTTCCTTTATGGCTATCCCTTCAAGTACATTTTAAGATCACCCACTCTTTGATCACACTTTTAATAATATAACAATTTTCTACTTTTCTTCATTACTAATTCTTTATGCAAATTGGAAACCTCTTTATCTCCTCAACCCTTAACCACCACACTTATTTCATATTAGTTTTACTACATCACAGAGGCAGAGGCCTCTCTGCCAGCCTCTGCTTATCCATAACTTCCATTCTCAACATCTTCCACATGTCCCAACCTCTCTAACTATTCTTCAACCCCAAATCTCTTTCTAGTGATTTTTATATTTATTCTCTACATCCAATTAGCATGCTTTTTATTTCTATATTCTCTATTTCTCATTTTAATGTGCTTCTTCACTAGATTATAAACTTCAGGGTAGGGGTTGGTTCGTATGGACTTTGTGGTGCTCGAGCAAATGAATAGGGATCTCAGTATAATATGCATTTAATGAAACTATAGCTATATCATGTTTATACAACAGTAATCAACCAATAGGACATTATTGAAAGTATTTCATTCTGGTAGTTCATTATTCCTTGCCCAAGATCTCCATGAGTATTATTTACTTCAATTCTATATGTATGACTTTTAAGTAAAAAAATATAGATATAAATAAAAGGTAATATCATCAGGTAATTTTGTTTTCTAATTGGAAGGAGACTTTTTTTTTAATAGGAGTTTCAGCATAAATCTTTGGGTAGCAATCATCTTCTTAGGGGATTTGATATACATTGAGCTTCCCAGGCACTCATTTATTTATAGTGACTTCACCTGGATATACTTTCTATATGGGAATATAAATAAATTATATATATACAATATATTTTATATATAAATGTATATTTTTATATAATATATGATTATAAACACCATTTTCATATATTATTTATTTATGCATGAGAAAGTTAAGCTTTCCATGCAGCTTCATAATCTTTGGGGAAAGTAAAAACCTAAAGAGAGAAAATGAAAATCAAAAACAATTGCCAAGGAACAGAGAAACAAAATAGCAATAACAGAAGAAGCTCTGCCCTTACTTTATAGAAGGTGATTTTTAAGAGTGTTCCCTGAAGAGTGTAAGCTGCTGTTGTGACTGGGTTCACAACAATAACAAAATCTGATTGTTCAAATGAATACTCTCAAAGTTCCTTTGGACAAGATAAAAACATTGAATATTTAGTTATTGTGGTATGAAAGAGAATGGAAAGCAGAATTAGTCAACCTTGTAGAGGATATGTTTCAGTACACTGTATATTGTTACGTATGGAAGAATGCAGTGTTAAATATATACATTCTTCTTAAAGCTGAGGACAGTAAGAAAAACTATAAACAGCACCTAAAGTTCTTAGAGCTCAGAAAAAAATAAAAAAGAAAAGAAAAAGGATGATTCCATTGGGCTACTGACTAGTTCTTTACGTCAAAGGGAAAAAGCAAAAGCCAGTGCTTTAAACTAGAACTAGAAAGGATAGTGTTAAGAGGCAAAGGTGAAAGCTGTATGGAAGAGCATTCAAGGAAGTACAGTAAAGGGTCTTCACAATTAATATAGAAAACCAAGCTCACAGCTCTGAGTAAAGAAAGCATTTCATCATTTATCCAAACAAAAGGAAAAGAAAAGGAAGGAAAAAAACCAGAAATCATTTGGTTCCTTTTACTTTGTCAAATTTTTGTCTGTTCATTTGTCACAAAATGATTTGTTCTTAAATATGACCAGCTTCATTTACAACCACCTACTGAAGAATCATAGTTATCATTATTTCCATAGAAACAGATATATTAACACTAGTTAACTGAAATTACATTTAACCAAGTCTAGTAAGTACAAAGTATGATCCAATTTCATTTGCAATATAGTTTTGTTTCATAAAAGAAAAGATGTTATATGAGAGAGTGAGAAGAAAGATACTTGTTCAAAGAGAAAAATTATATTTCCATAATGTTGATTTGTGACTAAACTCCTTTCAAT